ATAATAAACAAGGGAATATCATCACTGACAATAAAACTGTGGGGGAGTATGTGGAGGAGTGTTATTAGTGTAATGAACAGCAGTTCAGCCTGTCCCTGAGCTTTGTGATTGCAACATCTCACTATCAGATCATTTTCACATTAAAAACATAATCCTAAAAATATTCTGGCTGTTTCTGTCATGCAATGAAGGAGAAACACTTCCAACTTTTTTCCAAAAACATGTTTGGGTGCTGCAAATGCGCTTTGTGACAGCGCCCCCTGCCTGTCTACAAACAGCATATCCCAAAGTTTGTCCTGTGACAGGGACTGGTGTCTGCAAGACACTGCATAGTGGGCGTGCAGACAGCGCCCCCTGTCTGTCTACAGTGACTGTCTGTGACCCCCATACTGACAGCCAGACTGGAAACAGTCTGCACAATCTGTAAACAGTGAACAGTAGAACTCATCGACAAATCAGGGCTCCTGACCCCTGCCCCACCAAAAGAAACAGACAGATTTCAAACCGTACATTCCTGTTGCAATCCTGCCCTCAAGTGCAATCCTGATAATAATCATTATGGGAATAATGCTTGTAAAATACATTCAGCCTTAGTGCCTTAAATATGTATTTATACGTAGCGTACTATATACAGTATACAATCACATATACAGATTTACCACACAGGAACCATCAGTAACTTAAACCATCAGTTGCTTAAAATCATCAGCAGTGAGCAGTGAGGTGATTTCTACAGCAGATACAGACAGTTCTGTCCTTGTCTCTCATCCCTCCTTCTCTCCCACTGTCGTCGCCACGTTTACACCATAGTTTGGTACAGTATGACTGTCTACAGCTCCCCAGGGTTTCTCTCACAGAGAGCAGAGGTACGAGCTTGCCTGTGCAGTCGGCGCAGTACAAGGAGTGCAGCAGGCTTGCCCAGTCAACACAGGGCAAGGAGCAGGTCTGCGCAGTCAGTGCAGTGGAAGCAGCAGGCTTGCGCAGTCAGCACAGTATATGGAGCAGGTCTGCGCAGTCAGTGCAGTGGAAGCAGCAGGCTTGCGCAGTCTGCACAGGGCAAGGAACAGGTCTGCACAGTCAGTGCAGTGGAAGCAGCAGGCTTGCGCAGTCAACACAGGGCAAGGAACAGGTCTGCACAGTCAGTGCAATGGAAGCAGCAGGCTCGCGCAGTCAGCACAGGGCAGGAGCAGGTCTGCTCAGTCAGTGCAGTGGAAGCAGCAGGCTTGCGCAGTCAGCACAGTATATGGAGCAGGTCTGCGCAATCAGTGCAGTGGAAGCAGCAGGCTTGCGCAGTCAACACAGGGCAGGAGCAGGTCTGCACAGTCAGTGCAGTGAAAGCAACAGGCTTGCGCAGTCAGCACAGTATATGGAGCAGGTCTGGGCAGTCAGTGCAGTGGAAGCACCAGGCTTGCGCAGTCAACATCGGGCAAGGAACAGGTCTGCGCAGTCAGTGCAGTACTACCGCAGGAGTGTAGAGCTCTCGACAGACTGTGATCTACAGAAATAACAACATACATGGAGGTGTATCCCTAAATAAAACCAAGCAAATCACTATAAGAAACCCAATCACATTCAAAACAGAAGGCTTTGAACAGGTAAAGTGGCTCGTACCTGGAACCATGACGCCTCTGGGATGGAAAAAGATATGACTGGCCTGACCTGACGTAACCACCTCACTGCTACATAGACAATCCCTGAGCTGCCGCAGGAGGGCAGCATGCTGGGAACTGTAGTTTAGTGCCTCCTTCTCCCATAATATATACAAAGAAAAGGAGAGGTTTTTCACATTTCAATTAAAACAGCACACGCGTGCACACACAGACGCACACAGGCCCCAGGATCTGAGTCACTGATGGCGCTCTCACGGTCTGCGAGAGCGCTATCCCAGGATGCCTTGGCCCATGGCCGGAGTGTGACGTTAGGAATTCAGATTTAGAGGTGTGAACCTGGCTGCGTGGCCTCCTGGTGACACCCACACTGACAGCCAGACTGTCACTGTGACCCCCATACTGACAGTGGAAACACAGGCATGCCATGCAGTCCCCAGGCAAAGACAGGACCTTCAGGGGTGTGCATATGCCAAACTGAGCACCCCCTCCCTGGGACACACCCTCCTCTTCCTCCATCTCTCTCCACCCCCCTCCCCAGCCCTCCCTCTCTGTACCCCCCCTCCACTTCCTCCCTCCTCTTGACCCAGCCCCAGTCTAAGATGCCCCCCCCAGAGCGATCTTGGTGTTCTCATACACCACATAGCTGATGCTGACAGCTGGGATGACCTTCAGGAAGTTGGGCGCGATGCCACGATACAGACCAAGGACCCCCTCCCGTGACACGATGTGTCTGAACTGGCCAAGCATAGACAGCTGGGGACCCCCCTCCACAGAGGCTGAGAGAGAGGAGAGAGAGGGGTTCATACAGACACACTGACTG